GTTACCAATGATATAAAAGTGTCAAAATGAAGCATTGACATACTGTATGTAGCAGGGGAATAAAATGAATTAGTCACGTCCTACCTGTGTAGTAGAACCCTGCATTCAGGACTCACCTTGGCAAAGGGTTCCTCCTGGTTTCTACGGCTTATTTTTTCTAAATACGACTGGTGCCTACTTATGTACCTTTCTTTTATTTTAAGCATACTGGATGTGAATGATGAGAGTTGTTGTTCTGCAAGAAATCCACTGAAATATATTTATTTAACCTGTGTGTTGTGTTTTTTTTTCCCTGTCAGAATCCTTTAAGGTTTGGCAAGTCTCTCTTCTAGTGCTGCTGTTGCTGCTCATAATATTTGGAGCAGTTGGATTTATAATCTACCTGCGTAAAAGGTGAGCTGGGACATAGGTCAGAACTGCAGCTTTAAGAGCGCATGATAGTTAGAAAAATATTATATTCTGGTAACTGTATTGGAGTAATCATTGTTGTTATAGTATTCAGTATGTGAATTCCTTTTATATCTGCACAGGCTTTATGTATATATTTCGCCACCGTTACATGCAGGCCAAGCTGTCCAGCGAAAGTGACAGCTGGGAAACATTATTATGTTAACAGGGTGCTTTGTTTAAAGCCCAGTGAACGCTCAGTTTATATCAGTGAAGTATATAACAGGATAACAGGGGCATCAAAACAAACAATGGTAGAAGTCTTGCCGTTTGTTTTCTTCAGAACAGTCATATTTTGAATAGAAAAAGCCTACTTCCTGCCAGCATGGTGCTGAGAAGGACCTGTGCTCTCTGTGTGGGAGCAGTGTGGGCGCATGAGCTTTGCTGATGGAGAAGCTCTAGCTCTGACTCAGCAGGAGTGTGTTTGACTACTGCAGAGAGACCACTGCTTCCACACAGAAGCACCTTCATGCTGGCAGAGGACAGGCTTTTTTACTCAGGCTATAGCTGCTTTCTAAAGAAAACAAACTTTAAGATGTTGATTATGCTGACTGGATTTTCTGAGGAAAGTAAATATGTAACACGAAAGATTTCTATATTAGAGCAGATTTAGTTCTGACATATTCGTGTTAACATGTTTGTATGCTGTAAATAAATATCAATGAAAATCTTGGAAAGCTTAACTTATTTTGTAAAAAATCGGAAATCCACATTTTTCCGATTCCTAGTCAGGGCAAGACATTGCTTGTGTGATCTCTACCAAAGGATTCTGGGATTCAATCTGTAAAGTTGGCCATACATTGGCCATTGATTTCCCAATCCATTAAATGAGTACCTGACCATTGACTGTAGCTGATTGGCTGTAGTTACTGAGCAGCTGAAAATTTTCAGATCGTCTTTGGCTCCTTTGACAAAAGTCAATAACAAAAAAAACAACAAAAAAAAAACGACTTTTGTTGAATGTAGGCGTTCCGACCAGGCCACTTACTGGTCAAATTTCGGCCAAGTCAGCAGGACCACAAAATTATTAGATTTTGTCTTCCACTTGAAGTAGTTCCTTTTTTTTAATCATGGTCTATGAGGGATACTGAAGATAGTTGCAAATTTTTGCCAGAACACAGCTTATAATGAATGTCAGTGTTTTATGTTTATATAGAGCTTCAGAATCAAACTGCTGGACTTACCATTGTATCTTTTACCCCTGCAGGACACCACAAAACTACACCAGCATTGAAATGAATGCACACAGAGATCTGGCGATGGAGTATTGACAAGCAAGGAAAGTAAGAAACTATGGACCAAGTAAAGAGGGCTGTTGTAGGCCCATCTATTCTGTAGGCTCAGCCTAATAAGCATGGCCTTGTTAGGTCAGAACTGCAGCTTGCAACACCTGAGCAGTATTTGCACCACAGCAGGAAATTGATGCACCTGTTGCTTATGTGGGACAACACTCCTCTTGGAACAAGGCCATTGTTCGGTTTTGGAGCAGGAAAAATATGGGTTGCTTTGTATTAAACAACCTTTTTGTGACAATTGCTACTATTACCAGTGGTGGAACATTTCTACAGTGGACTATGAAGACTGTTAATCTTTTGGTAATTCATGCTGACCGTAGTATTCCTCTTGTTCTAAGACAATAACACGTATGGTGTCATCTTCACAAGTATAAAAGCATATAATTCATCATGACCTACTCTATTATGTACAATATGTCAGGTTCCTAAGCTTCTCTCTACCTTTCTAATTAGAAACACCTGTGTAAAATCCATGAACTTCTGTTAAGGGATTGCTTAAAGGTATCATTTCAGATCTTCCATTGCTGACTTGTCTTTAGGTGCATATGTTGAAAAAATGAATAGCAAATGCTTGTGAACATCTGTTCCAGGTAAACCTCAACAGTCATGGGTGAACCTAATATGATAAACAACTGTTTAGATTCCCCACATAATGTTGATCTAAAGCTGGCGACCAATCCTCTTTCATTGTCCTGACTGCATAAGCCTGGCTGGATATCTACATGGCCTGCTGGGGATGGGCTTCTATGCCTGACTGGGTGGCAGACGGGTCCAGGAAGTGGGTGCCAAGCATTGGGCTAGTCTGTAAGTGATGGCAGATGTGTAAATCAGGGCTTGTTTTGTTGTTTTTAACCTGAAAGAGTGTCCATACTGATGATCAGGTAGCAGATATGTCTTAACTCCCTCAATGTACAGTGCAGTAAATTATTTTGGGGCAGTAAATCCCTACCAATTCTGCTGTCCCTGGCGCCTCTTTGTCCTATCTATACATCAGTACTTCCTCGAGCTGTGGTCTGCTCAAGATCACTCGTGTTATGAGACTAGGACGCATCTCAGCTTTGCTAAGCCATCTGGTCTTTCACCACCACCAAAATGCACCCTCCTGCAGCTTGGCATAGGGAAAAGCCCTAATTTATCACCCTCATAATTGAGATCAGCTCACACTGACTTGGGAATGGCTACAAAGATGTTCCTCATACCTGGTTGATTCAGGTCCACCAACCAGATCATTGCTGGTTGTTGGAACTGTTGTTTTCTTAGGAACAATCTTCATAAATCCAGTACAAAATAGATCATATAACATGAAGATATGGTGATTTGAAGAGCTTATCTTTAAATTAACATCATGTTTGACAAATGCATTATATGAAGGAGTTAAAATGAGTCACTTCTATGCAGCACATGCCTTCATCTTATAAGCATGTACAAAGCTAACTGTACTGGATGTAGAAGGATAAAGGGTGCCATGTTTTCTGTTGTTGTATAGAAAAAGGAATCTCTGGTATACCTTTAGATGTGAATGCTCCTTGCTCATCCCAGTTAGCTTATCAGGACCAAGCTAAGTTAGGCAGAATGCACATATTAAGGGATGCCGGAAATTCTTTCTTTGATATAACTCTCTATGAAAAGGGTATTATCCCTGCAAATGACCTTTAAAAAAAAATATATATATAATCTGAACTGACCTTCGATGATCCAATCCAAATCCTGTCCACAAATATAGTATTAAAAGAGCTAAAAGTGCACTTATTCATTAATGTTACATGTTCATAGTTTGTCAAAAGTACATTTACCTGGAGATCCTTGTTGAATGGATTATCCAGACGTTCCTCCGATGTTGAATCTGCACCTTAGAATTCAGAGCCCTGACACAACTGGGTTTAATAGATCTGTGCAAGGATCTGATTGGCTGCAGTCAGTAAGACGGAGATGTAGACATCTGGGTGTACCTAGGTAGATACATGCTGTAATAGGCTATCATATGGCTCTACCGAGATTGATCCAGTTTCTTTTATGTCTGACTGCATTTGTTGTAACTCAGATAGGAAACTGATATATTTTTATGTACATTGCCTTTTAAATAAAAAAAATGTAAATAAAGTTTTGCATATTTTTGTTGTTAAAAAAAACATGATGTTTCGGTCATTTAAAGTGATAAAGTCAAAAGGTTTTTAAGCTATTGCGATTGCTGATGAAATTACTTACAGTATGTGCTGCTCCTTGATGTTTAAAAGTTTTAGTTTCCTGGAGAATCAGATGGTCCCCTGAGCACTGGTCCTGATATCCTGTTTTAAGGTAGCTACTTTCCCTTGCAGGGTCCTATGGAGCCACCTTTGTGTGTGTTAGTAAGCTGTGTGTGTCTCACTAAATAGTTGGCTTCAATTCTCTCAGCTCCACTTCCCTGAACCTCCTATTGAGTACAAGATTACAAGGGACAGAGCAATCCACTCTCCTCCCTACTTCCCCTCTCCTTTTTCCTTCTCTCTTCTTCAAGCTAGTAGATGGATGGCTGCAGTAGATTGCTCTGTCCCTTGTAATCTTGTACTCAACAGGAGGTTTAGGGAAGTAGAGCTGAGAGGGTTGAAGCCAACTATTTAGAAACATGATGACTGTAACTGTTTGGGCAAAAATGTAAAGAAATCCTTTGCTGGGCAATGTATTTGTTGTTTGATCTGGATTCAGTAATAAAAAACATTTGAGAGTTTAAAGGAGAACTATGGGGTTAGGGCTTTTCCCCATAGTTCTCCTTAGTCAAAGCATCCTAAGTCCCCTCAATACCATCATGTTTCTTCATTTCCAGAAGATTGTGGAAAAAAATTAAATCACCATTGCGTGCTTTTCACTCACCTCATGGTTCTAGCCGACCTGTGACAATGAGACTGTCACAGGTCGGCTTAGTAGATCGGGAGGTGAGCGAACACATAACGGCGTTCGCTTACCTCTCGATCCTGTCGCGGCTCTTTGCCCTGACAGGGGAGGGGCTGGATTCCCCCCTCCCCGATCCGCCAGCGCTGACTGGCGGAACAAACGGGGGAGGGGGCGGGTACAGCTGGCTCTGCCTCTAGATAGGCAGAGCCAGCTGTCACTCACGCAGCTGGGCGGATCCAGACATAATTGTCGGGATCCGTTTCTGCTGCGGCGTCTCAGTATACCGTGACCTGTAGCTCGCGGTATACTGAGCCTAGGGTGATGGGAGGACGCTACTTTGTGTCCTCCCGTTACCCTTAGGAGAACTATGGGGAAAAGCCTTAACCCCATAGTTCTACTTTAAGGAGATTTTTTAATAATTTTTTTTTTTGCACAATTCTTTTATTTATTGTTTACCTTTTTATATAGTAAAATTATCACAGCACTGAAAACTGAAAAATGGCCTTGAAAAGAGGGGGCCTAACATGCTGGTATTGAAGTGCTTAAAGTGTATGTACACCCTAACAATGAACTTCTCTTATTTGCTCCCTTTTGATCTGTTAACTATACAGTACCATCAAAAGCGTTTGTTATATCTGTTCAATAAGTACAAAAAATACATGTTGGTTCTGCCAGAAATATTGTCAGCTAATAACTTTCTGTGCTGCACTGTTATACATCGAGGTTCAATTTATTAAAAGGAGCAGACAGAATCTGGATCAGATTTTCAAAGCTTAACTGAACAAGCTGAAGACAAAAGCGGATTGGTTGCCATGGGCAGCTGCTCCAAATTCTGTCTGCTCAGGTTTTAATAAATTCCACCCAATTGCTCCCAGAGCCCTGAGGACTACAGAAGCCTCCCCTAAATGTTATGGAGAAAGAAACAGATAACAATGTTAGTAGTATTATCCTTGTGTACACCACTGCTCCTTCATAGATACAGTACGGTGAATGTTGCCACCCTAGGACAGGAAGTGTGCTACTGGCAGGATTACCTAAACACCTAAAAAACCTAAATAAGAAAACAAATGCAGACACCACATCTAAGGGCTTATAAGCTGCAATATATAACCTTTTGTTTCTTGTGTTTCGATACACTTTTTATCCCATAGTTCTTTTAAGGGTCACGGGAGGACAAAGCATCCTCCTGTGACCCAGAGCTCAGTATATAGCGAGCTATTAGAAAAAAGTGGTACATGCATGAATCCATAACCAGCCTTTATAGCAGGGAGCACAATGGGAAGGCTTACAACAATACAAAACACAAAAATTCCCCAGCCCCAACTCAGTTCCTCCACTCAGCACTGGAGAATCAGAGAGGGGAGGGGGGAATCCCTGCGGGTAGCCATGACTAGCAGTCACCACTCTCTGCAGGGAGATGATCGGGAAAGTAAGCAAGCAACGGTATGCCTTCGATCACTTCCCGATCTATTGAGCCGACGTGTGACAGCTTCTTGTCACAGGTCGGCTCTATCTATGAGGAGGAGTGGAAATCACTCACCTCATAGTTCTCCTTTTAAAGGTATTTTAAAGTCACAATTACTATACCAAGTAACACAACAAAATTACTACTAAAAATATTTAATACATCTCATATAATCACATATCGAGATAAAATGTCTGAAGCACTTGAATGTGCAATTTATACACTGCCTGGCCAAAAAGAAGTCAGCACCTGGATTTCGGGCAGTCTTATGATCTGGAGTTGCTTCTGTTGGTCAGGTCTGAGTTCAGTAACGTTATGTCTCCAAACTATGAGTTCAGCTACCAACCTGAATATAGTGAATGACCAGGTTTTTCCATCAATAGATTTTTTCTTCCCTGATGGCACATTGGCCATATTCCAAGATGAAAATTGCCTTATCACCAGAAATATACACTGCCTGGCAAAAAAAAGTCACCACCTGGATTTAGCAAAGCAAATAGGTCAGAGCCTTCCATTGGATAATAGATCTAGGTTCAGCAATGTTATGTCCACAAAAAATGAGGTCCGCTGCCTACCTGAATATACTGAATGGCCAGGTTTTTCTATCCCTGGATTTTTTCTTCCCTGATGGCACATTGGACATATTCCAA